GGAATGTGCACACGGCCGCTCCCCACCCGCCGGCAGCCCGTCCAGGACACGCTCCATGCAGGGAAGGCTTTGATCGCAGGTCCCCACCCGAGGGTCCCCCTCTCCCCGCCACGTCCTCCCGCCCTGCCCCCACTGGCTGCTCTGCCAGCAGCCCGGTTTGCGTTGGCCCCCGGCCAAACCCTGGAATGTGCTGCTGGCCCGGGGCGGCTGTTCCTGGATCGGGAACGACAAAGCACAGCCTGTCTCTGAGACGGGGGCGGACGGGGCGCAGCCTGCCCGGAGTCACGCAGGAGCCCGGCTCAGGGGCCGGGGGCGGGGGGTGAATGGGCTCACACAGGCCGGGACACCCATGAATGGGCGCCGGGCGTCCAAGCACGAGGCGGGCTTGGAACTGGTCACCGGGGGCCCCGGATCTGGACGCAGGCCGCCGAGACGTGGGGGTGCAGGCCGCTGAGGGGACATACTGCTGAAGTCCCCGGTGAGTGGGGCACAAAGCACCCCAAGGCTGAGACTACGTGTGACTCAGGCACTCGGGAGTGGGGTGCAAAGTCCAGACCCCGGACGTTTCCGTGAGCGTCCAGACCTGGATAGTGGAAGCGTGTGATGCCCAGGCCCTGGGCCCTGGGCCCTGGGTGCTAGATGGGCTCGGCACAGTCATGGGTGGGGCAGTGAGGGCTTCGCGCGAGGGAGTCAGATCCTTCAGGTGCTCCGGGGACTGTGGGGGCTTCGGGTCCCCAAGGAGGGGGCAGAGGCACGGGACACCTGGAGGGGCAGCTGGCCTGGTGCCACGCGTGGACACGCAGAGACCCAGGCTCACATGGGCCAGGGCACAATGAGAGGACACTGGGCACCCAGAGACGTGGTGGGACTTGGAACTGGCCACCGAGGGCCCCAGATCTGGACATGAGAGGCAGGCAGCGGGGTGGGGGGGTGACACTGCTCAAGACCCCGATGAAGGGGAGCGTGGCCACTCAAGCAGCACAAGAGACCCGGACAACACTGGTGGGCAGGGGCCACCGACACTCAGGTGATCACGGGTCAGACCATCCAGAGGCCCTGGAAACTGGGGAGCAAAGTACCCGTCAGCTTGGCCTTCGAAGGAGTGGGGTATAGGCCACCCAGATACTCTGAAACTGTGGGCCAGGACCCCAGGACTTGGAGCTCGGGTCCCGAGGCCCGAGCCTGCGTGTGAGGAGGGTCCGGGCTGCCTTAGATCTGGAGGGCGGACCTGCTTCTGGACTCCAGCAGTTCAGGGTGATGGGCCCGCTCTGTCTGCTCAGGGGCCAAGGTTGGTCTGTTGACTCCGAGGTGAGCAGGGTGCTGGGTTGTGCACAGCCACCCAGACCCCCTCAGGATCCAGGTGGTGGCTCCCGGCGGCACCATGTGTCCCAGGCCCACGGTGCCGGGCAGCCAGACACTCAGAGTGTGGGGCTGGTGTTGCCACAATGCCTGGAAAAGCGGGGTCCCAGGTCCCCAGCTTTTCAGTCTAACAGAGCTTATACCATCTGGGCTATAGAAAGGCTGAGTGAACTGGACGACGTAGAGGTCACCCCAGTTCTCCAGGGAGTGGAGTTTGGGACCCAGAGCCCCAAGAACAGCCTGTTAGTGCTCAACTGAGGTGCATTTGGCTGTGGACCCCAACTCAGCTCTTAAGTGCAGTGGGGTACAGTACTTAGGCACTCTGACAATGGGGTACAGGACCCAGATACTCAGGCTAATGGGGTTCAGGACCCCAGAACTCTAATGGGGTACAGGACCCCACACTGACTAATGGGGTACAGGACCTAGACATGTCTGGGTGGGGGCACCCCTTCAGAGACGTAGGTCGGGCGTCCTAGACACCTGGGCGGCGGGGTGGGCAGCCAGCCCAGCACACACATGAATAGCACATAGAGAGCTGGAGACGGGAATGAATGGGACCCACACAGGCATCGAGGGGCGGATGGAGTGGGGGCGTCCAAACCACAGGCCGGAGGCCACCGGCCTGGCCTGGCACACAAGCCAAGCGGGACGTGTCAGTGGGGGAGTGAGGCACCGAGGGGCCCAGCGAGCGGTGCAGGCTGTCCAGGCACCCTGTTGACCCCAGAGTGGAGCCCCAGCCCAACTGGTGGGAGTGTGCAGCCCAGACCTTGATTATAACGAGAGAAGGCTGCATGGAAACTTGGGGGGTCAGGCGTGTCCCTAGGTATTCACAGGAGTGGGGGAGGTGCTCCCATGATGGGGGTGCCCTGGATGAATGGGGCCCACCCAGAGCTGCAGAGGAGCCAGTCTCTGGCCACCAGGGTCCCAGAGGCCCTTGGAGATGCAGAGGTGGGTGGGGTGGGGTGCAGACCGCCCTAGGAGGGACCCCAATGCCTGAGTCACAGTGGGCCTCAGTTCTCTGCCGTGGGGGCTAGAATACCAGCATTGGGTGGGTGGGTTACACATGGCACGTGCAGTCAGAAGGTGGGATATGTCCCCTCGATTTCCAGGTGAACTTGTTATAATGCACCCAGAAACTCCAAAGAGTGAGGCTCACATTCCCCAGAAATCCAGACTTACGGACAAAAGAACACAGACTGAAAAGATGCTGAGTGAGGCCCGGAACCCAGCACATCCAGGAAGAGGGGTGCAGGCTCCCCAGGTGCTCAAATGATGGGGTGCAAGTTCCCCAGGTGCTCGGGTGATGGGGTACAGGCCTCCCAGATATTCAGGTGATGGGGTGCAGGCTCCCAGATGAAGAGGGCATATGTAGCCTGAATCAAGAATGACCCCCCACACAGGCTGAGAACACGCAATGGGCATAGGGTTCCCCAGTCCATGGAGGACTGTGGCAAGTGGAGCACCCCATCCTCAGCTGCCCTGGGCACACATGAGCAGGGTGCTGGTGGCCGGGGCCTGCGTGGACAGGGTGCACACGTGTGGTCCCAGCACGTCTCATGGTCCCACGCCAGCAGCTCCCAGCTCCCTGAGCCAGCGTTTGCCCCGAATTCCAACCTCAAACATCCCCAGGCCACCTCAGAGGAAGCCGGTCCAGGAGCCCCCCCGCCAGGGTCTCCACGAGATGCTGGCTGCCAATCTGCCCTCGGGGAGCCACCAGCCTGGGGCCGCCAGCTCTGTTTAGTTTTCCCTCCTGCCCAGGAACCTCAGCCGCCCGTCTCGCCACGGGGACGCCCGTATCCTGGGAAAGGGACAAGCGGGCAGAACCGCTCACGTGGGCACACGTGCCTGGCTGCATCCTAGGGCCCAGCAGCATGGGGACTGGCATTGTGCCCACCCACTTGCCTCCCCCTAGATTAGGGTGCCTGCTCACAGCGTGTTCCACTGTCCCACAGGCCTCCTCTGTGGCCCCTAGCTGTGCCAACCACTCCTGGCCCCTTTGCCTTTAGATGCTTCTTCCAAACTGCATCTCTGGGTGGGGCTTGGAGGAAGGCTGGGCTTGCGCGGGGGACGCCCCACGTGCCCCAGAGCCTCTCGTGATAGGCATGGGCACTGGCATGCACCTGCCACCTGCTGTGCTGCAGAGGGAGTCCTGCCCCCCCAGCCCTGCCAGCAACAGGCCCTCCTGTTAAACCTTGGCCAACCCATGTCTGGCCACTAGCCTGTAACGGCTTCCGAGAGACACCCTGGTCTGGGAGGGCGCTCAGCGCTGGGCCCGGGGAGGGACCTCACCCAGATAAACTGGCTAGAGCCAAGAGTGGAGCTGGACCCACTGATCCCTGCTGGGAGGAAGGACTTCTGGCCCACTGGCTGGGCAGGAACCCTGGGGACCGAGCCAGCCTGGCCAGAGGCAGAGGCATACATGCCAAATGCCTCAGGAGGCTTCCCTGGGCTCTGGCAGCCCAGGCAGCAGCAGGCCCAGGAAGTGGCCCCGAGAGGGTGCCGTCCCCAACCCTGCCCCGCACCCCCAGGGCAGCTTTGAAAGCAGCACCCTCAGCCCACTCTGCTGGCACCAGGCCGGGTGCCCTAGGTTTCAATGGCACCAAAAAGCCATTGTCCCTCCAACCCCAACATCCTCCTGACTCAAGACACCCTCCTCTCACTGTCTCACCTAAAGGTCACCCCAAATGGGCTGTCACCCCCTCTAGCAGGTCCTCTGGGAGGACTGGAGATGCCCAGGCCCCGGAGACCCCTGCAGGTGGGCTGGGCCCAGGTGCCCAGTGCCTGGGGCTTGGGAGGCAGCCTCCTCCCAAGGGAGTTCCTGGCTCCCGAGGGCCAGCAGCTCTGGTCCTGAGGTGGGGCTCCCCGAAGCCCGGCCTCCATACCCTCTCACCCACCAAGAACCTTTCTTATCACCAGAGGCAGAGAACCTGAGCTTGGACCGCAGCCTCGGAGGAGGGCCTGGAGGCCAGGCAGGTCACAGTCAGGCTCCAGGTGAGAGCACACCACCCCTGGGGGGCTGCCACCTCAACGTTTGGGGGAGCCTTGCTCACCCGAGGAAGGGCCCCAGAAAGGCACTCTCACTAAAGCACGAAGAATCCTGGTTGGAAGGAAGGCTGAGGGTTAGTCAGCTCAGCTGTAATAGGCGCCCACCAGGCTGGCTGGGAGCCCACAGGAGGGCACCCAGCCGCCCTCTGCCGGGGAGCTGGGACCTGGACGGGGAAAGGACACGGGGTGGAATTCAGTGTCCACTTCAAGGCAGGTCCCAGGGCAGGTGTGACCAGGGAGGGCTTCCTGGAGGAGAGGGGCTCATGCAGCCCTTGAAGGTCCAGGAGGAGGACCGGGACGGGAGGGAGAGCCTGGCGTGGGGCAGCAGGAGCGAGCGGGCCTGTGCTGGGATAGACCAGCCTGTGTCTGAGGGGCTGGGAGGGGGCCTCCGGAGAGCGTGGCTGGAAGGAGACTGGACGGAGGGAGGGGGCCGGTCTCCCCTTCCTGGGAAAATCGGCTGGAGCACCTGGAGAGGGTTCCCCCGGCCAGGCCACAGGAGAGAGTCACCCCGAGTTAGGCTGCAGGGGGGGCTTCTGCCTTCTGAGCAGCGAGCAGGGAAGATCCCTCCGAGGCAGGCCCGGCAGGGAGGCCCTGGGAGGGCTCGGGAAGGAAGAGCCCAGCAGACCTCGCGGGCCTGTGAGGGTCGTCTCAGCTGCCTGCCTGCCTGCCTGGGCCCCTGCGCACTGTCCCCAAGCCCGGGGACCCCTGGCAGGACCTGGGTGGCTGGCGAGCCCCGAGGAGCGGACGGCGCCACCTGGTGGCCCGGAGCCTGCCTGAACCTTCACCACCACGCAGACCCTGCGGTCCTGAGGGGCCCTGCGCCTCCCCAGGCCTGCGGGGCCCTCTGAGCTTGTGGCCAGTATCCCGAGGGTCCCGTGATCCTCTCGGGCCAGCTTCCAGGCATCTCCATGGTCCTGAGGGGACAGCCGTCAGCAGGCCGGCTCAGGAATCCTGCCTGACGAGCGAAACCAATCCCGTGACTCCAAGCCCTCCCCGCCCCGGCCCCAAGTGGGGCCAGGATGCTGGCAAAACAGGGCAGGGGTGAAACAAGCGCGCGCGCACACGCAGGAGTGTGCACACCCCTACACGCACACGCATGCACGCACACGGATGGAGACCGTGTGGGCCTCTGGGCCCGCCTTCTCCACCATAAAAATCCCCGATGCGGCAGCCTGGAGCCCAGAATACACATCGGCTCCCCATAAAGGAGACACTGACTTGAAGCTCCACGTGGGGAGCGGGGGCCGCTCTGCCTCTGGCCTCCACCGGCGCTGCTCCAAGGACCCTGCCGGACCCTTCAGGCTCTCCGGCCAACCCAGGCCTCCAGAGGCTACCAGGGCACCCTGCCTTCGGGGGGCCCGTATGGAAAATGTACAGCCTCTTGTTCAGAAATGATTAGAATGTCAAGATGGCAACGGCAGGCATTAAAGGAAGCCCGGGGCCTCCATATCCCTTCTTTGTGCTTGGACATAGCCCCTGGAGGGTGACAGAGCCAGGCCTGGGAGGCAGGACGCGGGCCCTGGGCACCTCCCTCTCAGCGCTGAGGGGTAGTGTTGGCTCTGGGAGTGGGGCTGCCTCTGTGCGGCCCACCGGGGAGGGGGGCATGGAAGATTGTGTGCGTGGGGGGGCATCTCAGGACCACGGTGGGCTCCTGTCTGTCTCTCGGTGTGCTCAGCACCAGCTGGGTAGGGGCTGCCGAGTGAGAGGCCTGGCCCGGACGCCTGGTTATTTCTGGAGGGGGGGTGGCCTTGGCTGGGCCCCTAAGGCTCTTGTGGGCAGAAAGGGGAAGCCCCATGTTGGAGGAAGTGGGCCTCTTTGCTGCCAGTGCTCCCAGGAGGGTTGGGTAGCAGGATCTGAGCCAGAGAGAGTCGCCGTGGGCCTGGGGTCACAGAGCACACCGTAGGGCACCCCGCTTGGAATCCTGGTCCCTGCGGTGGGTGGGAGGAGACAGCCTGGCCAGGTGCGCTCCCTCCGCAGGCCCCGGGCAGGTGGCTGAGCCGAGCGCCCGGCCGCCTCCCTGCCCCCTCGCCTAAGGGTGGCGGATAGACAGGTCTGGGCGGGCGAGCTGCTGAGTCAGTTTGCAAGGAATGTTCTGACCGCTCCCAGCTACACCCGGTGCCTGCCTCCCCCCACCTCGCCCTCCTCCCCAGGTGCTCTGGCCCCGCGCCCGTACGGGGAACGCACCTTCAGCCCGAGCTTGCTTAGACCAGCTCCCACCCGCAGCCAGCCCCACTCCTCACCGCACCTGCTCCCCCGTGACCCCGGCAGAGCCCTGGCCCCTTGGGGCCCCCGCCGCCATGCTCCCAGGTCCCCCAGGTCCGGGCTCACATGTGAAAGTGCTCCTTCTGTGTAACAGTCGAATCACGTGGCCTGAGTCCGGCAGGGATGAGGTGGGACCCCAGGCGATGACCCCCAGTTTGGATTGAGGGGCTTCCTGCAGGAGGAGGCCCTGAACCGAGGGGGAGGCTCTGCAGGGAGGCCAGGGGAGGCCCGGCCTGCTTGGCTAGGGCTGGGGGCTGGGGAGGTAGCCAGGAGGCCGGGCCTGTGGCAGCTAAGCCGGCACTTTGGCCAAAGCCCAGCGCCTTCCTCCACTTGGCTCCACTCAGAACTGTCACCCTTGCCCACCCCAGGCTGCCTCCTCACCCAGGCAGACCCAAGCTGGCTGCTGCTGGGCAGATGGGGGGTGGGCAGGGTCCCGAGGGGCCATCCCCACAGGTGACCCGGCTGCCCCGGCCATCTCCTCCAAGCCAGCAGGGTGGGGAGATGGAGCCCCCATAGTGCCCCAGCCCCAGTGAGCACCACGGCTGAACCCGGGCTCATTCCAGATCTCGTTGCCAGGATCCCCTGTGAGTTGTGGGACCCGGGAAGGGCTTGGGGCTGGCCCAGCTGGGTGGGGGGCAGGGCTGTCCATGGGGGCCTCTCAGGACCATCTCTGTGCCTACCCAGGGCCCCGATGGGCACTCGCGGCCATTGCTGCCATCGCCGGGTCCTCATAGTTTCTTGCCTCCTCGGTGTCCTCTGCTGCTGCTGTCGCCGAGCCCGGAGGAGGAAGCCCAGAGACAAAGAGGCCGTGGGCCTGGGCAGTGCCCAAGGCACCACCACCGCCCACCTGGTGAGGAGCAGGCTGCGGTGCTCCCGGTGCCCAGCACCCGCTGGGCCAGTCCCAGACCACAGCTCGAGGCCCAGGCTCAGGGGCTCAGGGGGCTCAGTGTGGTTGGGGTGAGCTCGGCCCCAGGGCGGCTGGTCTGCCCCGTAGAAGAGGCCAGAGGCCATTCCAGGGGGAGACAGTGACAAAGACGGGCGGGTGGGACCAGAGCCCAAGCACTGGGAGTGCCAGCCCCGGGGCTGGGCCATGCACCATGGGGGCCACAGCCAGTTCTTGAAGAGGCGGTGGTGCCAGTGATGGACTTGGGGCCGACCCATCATTCCGGCCAGGCTCAGAGCTGAGCTGAGGGTGGGAGCCCATTTGGTGGCCTGGTCTGGGGGTGGGCAGTTAGGGTTCTGGTGGGGGCTTGGTCCCAGCGGCACTGGTCGCCGTCCCTCCCACCCCAGGTACAGCCAGAGGTGGACGATGTGGAGTCCAGCCCTGGGGGAGCCCAGCAGTGGGGGGCGCCTGCGGCTCTCCCTGGAGTACGACTTTGGAAGCCAGGAGGTGAGGGCCCCACTGTGCAGGCCCAGAGGACCTGCGGGCTGGAGGGGAGGTGCTGGGTGTGGGGCTGACCAGGGGCGGCCCCTGACTGAGCCACCCTTGGCTCCCAGATCAGGGTGGGCCCCAAGCAGGCAGTGGACCAGAGGGCCCGTGCCCCGGGGGCCACAGCAGACCTTACGCGCGCATCAGCCTGTCCACCCAGGCCAGGGACACACACGAGACCAAGGTGCACTCTGCCTCGTGTTCGAGGAGACCTGCTGCTTCCACGTGAGTCTGGGCTCACAGGCGGGCAGTGGGGGCCAGGCCAGTGTGGCAGGGGCCCGGCTCACACCCCCACCTGCAGGTTCCACCAGCGGGGTTGCCAGAAACCACATTGCGGGTGCAGGTGCTGGACTTCAGGCGCTTCTCTGGCCAAGTCCTGGAGCTTTGGCATCAGCTGGGTCCACCAGACACTGCCGAGGTGAGGTTGCCAACCCCCTGGCTTCACCCACGCCCTGCTTGGTGTGCCAGCGGGGAGACTGAGGCCCTTTTTGTGCCCGCAGGCCCAGCAGATGGGTGAGTTGTGCTTCTTGCTCCAGTATGTCCCCAGCTCAGGCCGGCTGACGGTGGTCGTGCTGGAGGCCCGGGGCCTGAGCCTGGGGCCGGCAGGTGAGAGCCACCCCTGCCCCTTCCGTGTGGGCAGATGGGGCCCAGTGTTCTGCTGTCAGACCTGGGATGCCCTCTGACCCCTTTCGCCTGCCCAGAGTCCTACGTGAAGGCCCAGCTCACGCTGAACAGGAGGGAGTGGAAGAAAAGAAAGACGTCTGCCAGGAAGGGCACAGCCACCCCCTGCTTCAATGAGGCCTGCCCTTCAGCCAGATCCAGGTAGGCTGCCTGGTGGAAGGGGAGGGCAAGTCCTCACGG